CCCCCCCCCCCCCCCCCCCCCCCCCCCCACACACCTCAACAAATCCAGTTGTTTCAAGGGAATGTTTTCACAGCCATATAAAATAGATATAACACAGGGAATTACGACCTGTTTCACTTCCTAACACTAGCTCTGAACTGCTTGTACTACATCATCAAAACTACTAATGACAAGATTTCAATTTAAAATAGAAAATCATTTCCCAATCATTTGAATAGTTTGTTTCATGCTAATAACCGCTATAGATCACAATACAAAATTCAAAGGAAAACATTTCGAATTTAACAGACGAGCACGACATACATTCTGCTTGAGAAATCTTTATTGTACAAAACAAGTCAATGGAAAATAATTTTCACAGCAACAACTTGAGTCACAGACTTTGGTTCTGCAGAATCTCTGTATATAAATGTAAAAGTATAGAGACGCATCGATACAATCATTTTACATAACATCAAAAAAGAAGAACACATAAGAGCATCTTAAACCGAACATTGTGCACCACAACTCTCGTGTTGTCACCAGAGTTTATCGTCCGAACACCAATCGTACTCTGTAAGGGCTTGCATAGAACATGGATATTACTGATTCTGGGGCCGATTCAGTTTTATGGGCCTCCACCGGCTGTACTAAGCTGACAGAAGAGACACAGTAGCTGCTTTGTCTCTGCAGTAGTGACGGTTTGTTTACATCCATTGTAAACTGTAAGCTGGAGACAGAGGAGAGATCCCCAAAACTCTCAAATGTTACATGACAGAAAATACGATATACAAGTCAAAATATTCAGAAACGTACACTTATACATTGAGTTATTCAAATGTATATATTTGTTAAGTCAAGTGTCATTTGAGAGAAGCCGTTAAATTGGAGAAAAGTCATCAAGGCTGACGTCTCCAACATCTTACACCAAAACAAACTGATAGATGGCACCAAGAGGAGAAATATGTATTTTGTATTTTGAGGTGATTTGTCCCTTTAAGTTGTGACCCGCATGTGTTACCATGGGACGTGACTTATGGGAACCCTTTTCCAAATAGTCCATAAACTACCATTCAAACATTAATATGATCCTACTTTCAGATGGCTATGTAATCCATTTCGGGGAGCTCTGATTCAGCAGATCGCAGAGAGCATAATTTTCATCAGAAGGAAAATAGGAGAACGTTAAAATTAGTTTTCAGGTTGCGTGGGAACCCCGATAAGGGATCTGGCTCACGGTCTGCATTCCAATTCATCCTATAAGGTGTTGGATGAGGTTGAGGTAAAGAACTCTGCTTCCTTGTAATAGGAAAGGGAACAACACAAATTGTTGACACAAAGAAAACACGGACGCACACTATTCACAGGCCACAGGAGGCTGTTTCTTTTAGCAAACAACTTCATAAAGTGATAATATGTCCATGTTGTGTTTACAGCTTGCTCTGCTGCCCCCTAGAGACCACAAAGTCACACTCATGTCATTTGCAGCGTAAAAAAAGAAGTGTACGAAAATACATTTGCGGGACTTCTTGCTTGAGAAGTTACCGCAGCAAACTGGTACCGTGTAAGAGGACGACACTGTCTCTTTAAATAAGTGCTTTATTTTGCGATAATGGCTCCTTTTGACTTGGAGAATGCACATGTGTGTAATGCGTAAACCGCAGCTTGTCATACAACGCAGGGAGTATACTTTAGTACTAACGTTACATAAAAAGAGTCATTTCACTCCACCGACAAAAAAATATGTATCTAAGCTGATGCTCTTTGACACAAGCAAAGATGGCGTAAAAAAAACAACTTTGTACAAAAGATGGTGGAAAAAGAGTAAACATATTTTACTTACAAACAAAGTGTTCAGAATCTTGCAAAAACCCATAAAAAATGAATAAAGTTGAATCTTGACTTTGACTGGAAGCGTAGACGTTTGCCTTTTGGAATAGTCCTTAAAAGTACTGATACTGATGCGGCAGCTTGCACCGGTGCTGCTGTTGTTGTTGTTCATCAGTCCATCCCGGTGCCGCCGCCGCAGATATGCAGTTTTCCTCGGAGAGGGCTCAAAGACGACTGTCACCTTCCTCACTGAAAAAGAAAAGATGGAGGCATGTGATAGACAATTTGAGCCTCAGTGCAGCCGAGGAACAACTGCAGAGTTCGGATTAAAAACAGAATCTTAAAATTCCACTTCTTTTAGAAGATTGAAAAAAATCTGCCTCGACTTCAACGCGAATCCCAACATGAGCAACAACATTATTTGTTTCTACACACCAGAATACATCAGTTAATACTCCAGCTATAGCTTTCAGATTCAGGGTATTGGTCTTTTTCAAGTGACAAGGCTCCAAATGTAGGTTAATAAAGTTCAAGTAAAACATTGGTGAGAAAGTCAAGGTGCAGGTCCACACATCTTCTATCTTCACTCCCCAATTCATAAACATAAAATAATTAAAAGTTACTACAAGATTTTGTGTTGAACTTGGTGGCTCCTGTGGACGAAAGCGGTAGTGTTTCACCCCGTGAAGCGGTGGTGTTTCACCCCGTGAAGCGGTAGTGTTTCTGCAAAGATCTGCAGCTGCCAGAGTCCCTTCAGAAAACCTCTGATTTTACTGCAGCATGGGTCTGACAGTCTGCCTCGCTCAGTCCTGGTTCTACCAATCCTCCAGTCCCTTTTTTTGTTGTTTAGGTGAAGTGAGCCTTTAAAAAAAACAGAAAGTTCTGAACGCGGCGGTGTCAAACCTGAGGTTGGATCCCTCCACGTCTTCGATGGTGTCGGGCAGCGGCTTATTGGCCGTCTCAGGTAGCAGCAGGGTGAGAGCGGAGCCCAGCAGAGGGCAGAGCCCGCACAGAACCATGGGGGCCTGCGGACTGATGCCCTTCAGGAGGTACAGCATGGGAGCCAGGACCCCTCCAGTCCGAGCACACATGGAGCCAATACCGATCCCGTTCTGTCTGTGGGAGACACACAAAGAGGGTCAAAAAGGCCAAAGGTACATATCTACATCAGCTGTACCAGCGGCGTCCCTGGGTCATTATGCTACATTTCTCTTCATCAATGACTGTCGTTGATTTGGTTTTAAAAACCTCGCGTTGCATTACATAACTTGACGTTATGTTTTAACATCACGATTAGTACTTAATCTGGAAAAAAAGCAACAATTTTTTGTGGTTGCACACTTTTCCCAATGATTCAAATATGTACATTAATGTAAATAAGGTGCCAGAGTGCATAAAAAAAGACTCATAATAAAGCCTATTTATCGTGAGCTGCACTATAAAACAGTCTGGCAGGCATTGGACTGTAATCTATGATCACGATTGCTTTGTGTCAAATGTTTTTTTTTTTATGGCATCACATCTCAATTATAACATACCGTAATCACAGCTGGCTTCATTTCATCACACAGGGTCATAGACCACTGGGTGTCGGACAACCTGTCTGATGTCCTTACAACCAGAGCAGGTTTGGTCTCAGCACAAGCTGATGAGTCACGTCAAATGGGGCTCGGCAACCTCGTTGGGAAGATTTAGTCTGTAAACCACAGGAGTGTTTTGGGAGGGAAACACTCACCTGATAACGGTGGGGAACACCTCCGCCGAGTACACGTAAATAATGGAGAGAGACGCCGTGATGCCGAACTTCCCGATCATGGCCAGCATGGTTTTGACGACAGAGAGCTCTAGAGGAGAGGTCAAAGGGAAGTGAGGGAAAAGCTGGTTAGAACTTTGTAGCACCACCATTAATAACCCACAACGAACTCTCTTTAACAGGGTGAAACACCACGGGACCCATCGACATGTGACACAATAACAATTTGTAAAACTAAGAAGTGGACATTTCCTACAACAACAGTGGTCAGTTTATAGAGATTTTCCAACTCTCGTTTTGGATAGAAAGCTGTATATATAAATATACATATACTGTATATATACAGCTTTCTATCTAAAACAACAAAAGAAAAAACAACAAATGAATTGTGTTTACGTGTATTTATAGTCATTGTAATTTTATTGTGTGCCCTTTTTAAAAAAAAATTTGGCAATGTTGATTTTATTAAAAACAGTCATGCCAAAAAAGCAGCATATACTATATGTCTCTACTATTTATTTTTTAAGTTCTTTTTTTTTTTACTATGTTGCAGTTTACATAATAAGAATTGTTCTGGAACCGTTTCACGCATTCAAATTATTTTGTATGTTGTATAACATTGTTGTATATGTATGTTGTTCATTGTTCTCTGTTTGGACAGTCTATGAGGAGGTCTGCAGTAAGCGGCCGAGTGTGTCCATACCATTGGGGATGAAGACGGTCAGCAGGCAGGCCGTGCCGCCCACGGCCAGGAACGCTAGCTGGGAGAGCTTGCGTGAGCGGTTGAGGGTGAACAGGGTGATGGTGCGTGCCGGCATCTCCACCAGGCCGAAGATCATCTGGGTCAGGTAGATGTTCATTCCAAAGTCAGAAATGTTCAGCGACAGGCCGTAGTACACGAGCACGTTGGCGAACCTGAGACAGAAAAGTAGAAATATAGCGTCATTTGAAGTGCGTCGGTTACACGATGCCCTCCAAACAAAGTTAGCATGTGTGGGATCTTTCAAATAACGGCGTACATTTTAGTTTGTGGGAGACATAATGCATGAAAAATGAAAGGGATGGTTTGGGGGTTTTGAAGCGGGGTTGTATGAGGTACTTATCCATAGCCAGTGTATTATCTGCAGTAGATGACAGTCGGCAAAAAATATTTACAAGAATGAAACACCTCCACTGTGCTGTTCTTGATACCACCACCGCGCTTGAGTAGGAAAATCAAGAGAGACTGTATTGTGCTCCATATGTTAACATGAGGTGGAAACAACAAGATGCACGAACAGGTACAAACATGTAGTGCAATAAAAAACATGTCCTAGAGCCGGAAGAGTGATGCTTGTAGAGCAGTTCAGAGAAATACCCTAATACAGTGTTTCTAAAATGGGGGTACTTTAAAATACTTAAACAGTACGGGAGGTTAAAAATATATACAGTATATATATATATCAGTCATGCATAATTTCTAAGATAATTACACTATAATAAGTTCAATAAAAATGTAAATGTAGGCTCGATAAACCACATATATTCATCAATACTCCTATTTTAATGTATTCGTCTCAGTAAAACACAAATAATGTGGGATCAACTGGCAATGTTTATCGCCTTAGTTAGTTTCATACTCTCAACTCTTTCAGTTTAGATTACGCAATACTTTGGTTTATGTCCAAGTACCGTCAAAAAGACATTCCCATCAGCCTCAGCTGCAGTTAGTGTTTGATGACAATTTGCATGTAAGTAAATAGAAGCCTGCTTCAACTAAAATGATGACCGTGGTAAATTTATCATTAACTGATAACCTTGTTGAAACTTTTATTGTGAACATGTTAGCATACTAACTAGTACCATTTCTCCATTCATTTCACCGTCATTGCTAAAGATAAACTAACTAACTTTGGACCTCAAAGTGGATCAATCTGCCAGTTTGGTTTCGTTAGTAATCACAGAGCCACGAGTAGCGCTGAAGACTGTTTGGGTGTGCCACTGTAAAGCACAAAAAACACACAAATAAAAGAGCCGTACCGCAGCACTACAGTGCAGCAATAATAATAATAACGTAAACAACTGTAGAGCTTTTTATTTTGGCATGTCAAATCCCAACATGGACATGAGGACAAAAATGCTGGGGAGACAAAGATGCGTTTTCATATCCAGATATAAATACTGACATAAGGAAAAAGGGAATGCTCTGCTCATACTCACCAGAGATAAAAAACAATCAAAGAGTGCTTCCTCATTTTGGGGGTTCGAACAAGGTCTAGGAATGAGTATTTTTTCTTCACCCCGGCTTTCTCTTCAACGTTATGGACCTGGAAAAAACAGGGAGTAAGACAGTGAGCAACAGACTTGGGAGTCCGGGTTAAAAGGTGGCAGAACACTACTGTTTAAGTAGTTTGCATGTGTAAATGATAATGACATTTATGCAAAGTAATAATGGTTGCTTCAGAGTGAGACCGGAGTACCTATGTCATACAGTTAGTGCTCTCTCACTGCTACTAAAGCAAGGGGAACTATTCAGCACTGTGCAGCAATGATCAATGAAGTGATCTCAAAATCAGCTGTCAGGCTACCTTGTCACGCTACCGTCTCACGCTACCTTGTAACGCTACCTTGTAACGCTACCTTGTAACGCTACCTTGTAACGCTACCTTGTAACGCTACCTTGTCACGCTACCTTGTAACGCTACCTTGTAACGCTACCTTGTAACGCTACCTTGTAACGCTACGTTGTCACGCTACCGTCTCACGCTACCGTCTCACGCTACCTTGTAACGCTACCTTGTAACACTACCTTGTAACGCTACCTTGTAACGCTACCTTGTAACGCTACATTGTAACGCTACCTTGTAACGCTACCTTGTAACGCTACCTTGTAACGCTACATTGTAACGCTACATTGTAACGCTACGTTGTAACGCTACGTTAACTAGGGTAACTAGGTGGAGGTGGAGGCTTACAGCGATGGGTATTTGTTATTAATGTTGTCATTTTGAACAGATTAAATAAATGACTAATATGTAACAAATATCACAGAGTAGAAAATAATGAAATATATTGCATCTGTACCTGCCGCATCTCCAAATCTTTGCTGAGGAGCCTCCCATTCATCTGCGCTGCTTTCCGGATCAGTTCCCATGCTTCCTCCTTTCTGTCATTAGCCATTAGCCAGCGAGCAGATTTTGGCAACACCCTAAAAATGTAAAAGAAAATTGTCCAGGTGACCTACTTACAAACACTTGCACTCAGCCCACTGTGTATTATCTACAAAACATGAAAGTCTCATGTGAAAGCCCTCCAGTTTGGAGAAACAGACAGGAGTACCAGCACGGAGGAGAAAAGCAGTTTACTGCTGTGGACGGGGGCAGCAGCAAAACCATTTTTAGACACCTAAAAAAAATCTTTATCAGTTTAAGTGTACACTATATTTAGAATATTTTTACCTTGTTTACCTTGCCATAAGACAGACGTTCCCAAGGGGGAACTGAAGCCGTCATATCCATCCATGCTCTCGCCAAAGCCACCAGACTCCATTGAAAAAAAAAACCTGTAATTTCACCTCGTGGAACACAGGAGTAAGTGGTCTACCGCTCCCTCAATCGTTTAGTTTGTTTGTGTAATTGTGTGACTTTGGTGAATCCAATCTAACCAAAGTCCCACTATAACACAAACCAACCTATCGAGGCAGTGGTAGACCAGCAACTCCTGCTGCCCCCGTCCACAGCTGTCCACTGCTTTGCTTCTCCTGTGCGTTTCTCCAAACTGGGGACGTCCCGACCGTAATGTACTGTGGCACACTGACTATGGATAAGTACATTATACAACCAAACTTCATAACACCCAAACTATCCCTTTAAAAAAAATATTTACAAGAATGAAACACTGTGCTGTTCTTGCTACCACCATGGCGCTTAAGAAAATCACAAATCCTGCACACAGTGGCTTTAATATTAGGTAAGAGAGACTGTATTGTGCTCCATCCGTTAACATGAGGTGGAAACAACAAGATGCACAAACAGGTACAAACATGTAGTGCAATAAAAACATGTCCTGAAAGCATATTGTGGCTCCCTGATGATATTTATGTTGAGAGGTAGTCAGACAGCTTCTCTATCCCCTGTGGGGACTTGCTGTCTGAGGGTGAGGTCATCACAAATGTGCACACCACTAAACTTGCTGCTTCTTTCTTGTTTCACACAACACAGCCGTCGTTGAGAGGAGGGAGGCGACTGTCATCTCTTTCACCTTATCGACGTTGAGGTTGTTACCCACCAGCGCTGCGTCGCCCGCGAACTTGATAATTACGATTGGAGCCTTGTTTGGCGGAGCAGCCGTGGCTCATTAGTCCGAACAGAACATCCCTGGGGGGTGGGGGCTGCGAAGGTCCAGAATCCAGTTACCAGGAAAGGCCAACTTCCACACCGGCTTCTGGGGGATGACTGTCGAATGCCAAACCAAAATCGATGAACCGCATTCTCTCACTGGTGTTCTTGTTCTCCAGGTGCGACAGGTCTAGGTGGAGGGCTGAGGAGACGGCCTGTGGAGCTGTTGGTCAGAATCTGAACTTTGACCCGCACAAAAACAAGCGCGTACAAACCTGTGTTTTCCAACTCTGGAACATCACCAATCCTCTGTATTTGTATACGTGTCCTTTCTGTATATAGATGTTTATGTATGTTTCTAATTTTTCTGTAACTGTGTCCTGTGAAGCTGACTTTGTTTTAAAAGGTGATTTACTAATAAAACCGTACTTGAGTAAGATCTATGTCAAGGGGCACACAGAGGGATACTCCTCAAAGAAGCTCTTTGCATCTCCCTGTACTGCTGCACTAAAAAGTACGAGAGGAATTTGGCACCGATCATGCGTGACATCGAGCATTCGCCACATATTTTGTTTTCAATCACAGGGTCTGAAACGGGATCTCCATCATTAACAAAGCACAACAAGTTTGTTTTTGAGTTTGAAGATACTGGAGAACAGAACACGCTGCATCAAATCTGGGTCACACTGCTCTGCCCACTGACCAGATGTAAAAGATGAAGAGGAAACCGGGTGCTGAGATAGCCAGCTGCAGTTTACGCCAGTCTCTTATGAGGTACGCCACTCCAGCCAGAAGTATATAGCCGAAGCCGAAGAAGTAGTCGGTGATTATACCTGCCAACATCCGCTGCTTGGATCCTGTCCATTCTGTGCCTGGATGAGACACACGGATTACATGCAATCACATATACTGTATGTACAGATAATAACTGCTTGAGAAACTACATATAAAAACAAGTGGATCGGCCCAGTTCATTCTATAAGCCATCGTCAGGGTTATTTCCTCATACTGGACATTGCTCGTCCAGAGCCACAGATGACTAAATACAACTGTTTTTGCATAATTAGTAGTCAATCTCATCACTAGTAGAGCCTTTTTGTGTCAAATCAGGGGACTGTCCTTTAAGACTTTGTATTAAACTCAAATTATTCATCCATCTCTAGTGTTTACAGTATTTGTACCTTTAAAACAGAACACAGGATTTTTTTCAAACTTAACAAAACAAAACAAAAGCCTGAAGCTGGAAAAAGGACCAGTTCACGCACATCAACAGCTTCTTATCCATAGAGGCAAAATATTTGAAATATCAGCAGCTATCTATTGCTGCTGCTTCCCTCTCACAACCTGTTCATTGGTGAAACTGTAAAACTGTAAATGGTTTCTAATTGCGCATGAAAACTGTACACAGTGAGGTCTGTGAATTATCTTGAGTACTCGTGACATACTCTCTGTAGAGACATGTTGCTTTTGTTGAGAGGGGGGGGGGGGGCATGGTAGGACATTTTAAAAACCATGGTAAACTAAATCAAACCAATGTGATTGGCTAGATAACACAATGCTTTTTTTTTTTTTTTTTTTTTTTTTTAAATCATTGAAATAAAATTCATCCTTTGATAAGAGACAGAAGTCCCAGATGTCTTTCACTTTCCATGAACCACTGACCTAGGACAAAGGCATTCATGATGACACCAGAGATGGTTGTTCCAACCACAAAGCGGAGGGCGATGTAAACGTAGAAATTAGGGGCGAAAGCAGCCCCGACCCCAAAGACAGCCTGGACCGCCAGGTTGATGAGAATGATGATCCTGCGACCGTACCTGCAACAAGACAAGACATTTCATAACTCTTGTCATTCCATGTGAACAACACTTTGAGAATTGTTCTGATGCAGATCGTGGGAGAAAGTAACAAGGAGTTACATCATGTATTTAATAGTGCTCCGAGGATGGATGTGGTGTGATCAAACTTACTTATCGGCTAAGCTCCCATACACAACAGCTCCTACTAGGAGGCCAAACATGTACATGGAGGAGGCCATGTTGTTCAGGCTGGCACTATCACAAACCAGGTCCCACTGCAAGAAGCATAGAGAAGTGATATATTCTGTATGTTCATGTTCCCCAGAGGATTAACCATTTCCTTTCTGGGGGCTCCATGAGCACCACCTTGATGTTAAGCATCTCTCGAGCCAACAGATAACTAGATTTAAACCACAGCCTTTGTTCTTGAGGCCGTACTCAAGAGGCCGGCTCTGTTGGAGATGCCTTTCCAGCACATACCGCTGCGGCTCCTTGTGTTATCCACAGCTTGGTGACGTTACAGAGCCCCGGACATCTTCGCATCAAGGGCCAACGTAGAGGTCCGGACAATTTCTAAATCAATTGCAGATTTGTCCGACTTACTGTCCAACTGTGGTCACAGCAGCTGGCCCGTCACGTTGCCACACGTGACACCGTTTTGTCCAATCGCGTCATTTTGGTGATATAATGGCTCCGCCTGCCCAACCCTTAGGTTACAAAACAGGGTAGGGTAGGCCAGAAGATTCCTGCTCTGCAGGAGTCCATCTCTCAAACCTCACTCGGTTTAACCCTGTCTCAGGTATCACCAGAGCCCACGGTAATAAAACGGACCCTCGGCATTCCTCAGCTGCATGGAGTCCTCATGTTAAACACATCAGGTGAAAACATAGATATCCTGAGGTGAGAGGCTGCCAGGCAGGCGGTTGGTTTTTTCACTCACCTCAGTTACTGTGGTGCTTTGGAAGGTCTCTGTGCTGTACTGCCAGCCCCCCTGGCAGCTCCCAGCAGGGTGTCCATCGCCAAGAGCTACAGCACCGCTGTGGTTCAAGGGTACCGCGCAGGACAGATCAGGCTGGCCATCGGTGGCGGCCAGACGGCTGAAGTTGAAGTCCGAGGAGGTCGGAGCGCCCGCTGAGGGCCACGAGGAGCGGCACAAATGCGGCGGGGCGGCCCCTGTGAAGACGGAGACCAGCATGTGGAACGCCAGAAAGATCTGAGGCAGACAGATCCACACAAACAAGACCTTCTGGAACTTCCCAAAGGCTCCAATGAGACAGAGGATGCCATCAAAGTTAATTTTTTCTGGCTTTTCCTGCAGATGCATACTCAACATGCACTGCTCTGTGACAGATGCGCTCGGATTCAGAAAGTACAAAAGTGCTCCTGAAACTGGAGGTGTGAAAGATGCACAAGCTGATAGAGGCAGAGGGGTCAGTCAAATAACTGAGGTAAACGAGTGGAATGAATGTCGGCACCACGCTGATGACTAACAGGTGGAGAGAGTGTGCAGTCACAGTGGTGTTGTGCTCCAGTGTGAGTGCGACCTGGTGCTATCTGTAGTGCGTCTCTCTGAGAGTGACTTAACCTCTTATGTGAGCGACGGGAGTGAACCAAAGCAGGAGGGAGGTGTCTGCTCTCTGTGGGAGGAGCTGCTTCCCCCTCTGTCCCTCCCTTCCTCTCGCTCAAAACGTTTTATAACATCAGGGTTTTTTTTTTAACCCATGCAGACTGTGTGCCAAGAGTGTGCGGCAGCCTCTGGTCTGAGACAAACCTCACTCAATGGAAGTTCTACAGATTGAAGTAACAAATGAGCATAAGAGCCACCTTTGCACTCCTAAATTTCTCATGTTTACATAATTTTTTTTGGGGAAAGGCATCATATGGCGTTTGTGTTTCAGTTGACAAACTTGTTCAATTGTTCCCAGCGAGACATCAACACCTGCTGAAAGACATTTGCATTCCAAACGGTATCCAGTGATTCATTCGACACGGGATGCCACGTTGGGGTGGGGTGGGGTGGGGTGGGGGGGGAGTAAATTTCTAAGCTGGGGACATAAAAGAAGTAGATAAGTACAGCAGTGAGGGATTATTACTATGCCTTCATCAGCGGCTCCCGTTTATCTGCCTTATTGGGTCATTTGCTGACATGAGCTACCGCTGCATAGTTTGACCTCGGCGGGGCGATTCTTCTTCCAGGAAATTGAGCCTTCCACTACTACGTGGCTCAAAGCAGAACTCACCATCAAAACCATACACGAAATCTGGAACAGATCTTTCGGGGTAATCTGAGAGGACTGACGTTCGGCATTCTTTGATGAGTTGTGGGGCTCCGGCAGTTCACGTCTCGCACTGTGAGCGGTGGGCGCGTGAAATCCTATTCAAGGCTTTGTATTTCCAAAGCAAAAACACATCAGAAAAGAGTCGCAGGGTTAAGAGAAATTTCACAAATACATTCAACCTGGTGCCAAAAACCAGAGCTCCCATTCAGTGCCAAGCGGACGAAACAGTAAAAAGTGAGTGCTGCAGGATATTCTGTAAATACAGTAAATAGAATATGTATTTCATCATGGGCTCTGATACATTAAAACACATAAAGCTCAATGTTTCAGCTCACATCAGGTACCAAACAGGAAAAATGGGTTGAAAACCAATTTATATATACATTTTAAAACACCTGTCTTGTTACTCTTCCTTGCTTTACACACTGTAGCACCATCTTGCGGTTAAACTCCCTGATTAGATATCATCCATATTTTTGGAAAAACGCGATTTCAGAGAGAAGCAGGCAGAAGGGTCTATACTTTGCGTTTGTAGGATTAGGATATAACTTATTCAGCAGCAAAAACAGGTCAGAAAGATGGAATGTACATGCCGCGGTCGGTAGCTCCCCCGAATTTCGCTACATTTTAGTTTTAATTTGTTGGCCATTTTACTGAAGTACTTATGGCACATGACAGAATACACTCATCACCGTCAGAGAAGGAGGCGTGGGGATTGGATACATTTTCTGGCAGCGGACCTTGAGACGAGTCTCTTCCACGGAGAGGGAGCGGGAGCAGAGGCGAGATGGAAGCTAAGCTAACGCAGCTAGGACCCGATGCTATTCCTCTTCCCAATTTGAACCTGGCTGATGAGCGGTCGCAGCATAGTTCAGGCTAACCCAGCGATGTTTTTTTTAACGTAGAAACATAACATTGTAGAAATGTATATCTCCTTCCAACTTCTCTAGTAACGAGTATCACTGTTACACAACGTTTCACCACGACTAGCTCCATTTCCACAAAACCAGCCTGAAAAAGAAGAAAATCGGAAACCGTTGCGTGAGAGTCTATAGCTCTGTGAAGGTTGTAACGGAACATTTCAGGACTTCTACTTTAGTTCATCGTCAGTCCAGTGTCAGCGTCAGCTACGACTGTTTATTCTCACTATGATACAGTTAGAATACACCGCTGTAGATGGACACCTGTAACTGTTGGTACTCATCTGAGTACTATAAATATGTTCTGATATTTAATCAAAATAACATGAAACCAAATGATCCAATCCCATTGAGACATGTGCTTTCTTTGTGTGTTTCAAACTTTTCTTTAAATATATATATATAGGTCTTAATGTATGTCAAATCTTACACTGCGATAGATTTCGGTTTACAATTTGATTTTCCAGAGTGAAAGGCTCTCACGCCCCCGTGGAGGGAACGTGGAAACACAGCTGGAATACTCGACTAACAGACCAAGCAGGATGCAGAGTGCAAGATCAAACGAAGAGCATAACTGGGCTCTTTAAAAGTGGGACATTCGCCCTCAGGCACCACCTGCTAACACAAGGTGTTTTTTTTTGCTCATAGCACTGGTGTTACAGAGGTTGAAGGTTTTGCAGCAGCAGATTATAAAAGTATCAAGCAGGTCCAATGTAGTTTGAGACTATTGTAATTTAAAGTGTCATCCAGCCCATTGCGCTGTATGGGGTCCACTCAGTCATCACAGCTAGACCCAAACATCATACCCAATCTTGCAATGCAGAATTCTGCGGATACATTTTACAAGTATACTTAAAAGACACCAACAAATGCATGTAGAGCAGCACAACTATGGAGATACCCGCTGGTATAATAAACATTCCATTCTATTTTATCACCTTAAATCCAGCCCCAGAGACCCTCCAATCCAAAGCCTTCAAACCCAAGAGCTGAGCCCAGAAATAGTCCCCTATTTCAGTTGCTGCTGAGGCTAACTGTCCCCCCCCCCCCCCCCCCCTCCTCTCAGACACACTGTGCTCAGTTTCACAAAAACCCTGCTCTCCAAACACCAACCACAGAAAAACAAATTATAACGCAATGTAAAGAAATCTATTTGGAACGAGCGGATGAGAATGTCATCCAGCCCTAAAAAGAGATTGTAAATTAGCAAAAATATCTCTCTGCTGTCAGAGATAGAAAGCAGAGACAGATCCTAACCGAGTGCACGCTCTGTGTCCATAAACTGGCAAGTGAATTAGGAACAAACACAAATAAAATAATAGTACCCAAAAGAAAATTGAATATGGGGTCAGTGTTGGACAAAAAGGCTTCTTCCAACTACGTAAAACATTCAATGAAATCAGGAACAGTTGCTGCCCAATATGTATCAACACGCCAAAACCTACACATAACTCACTCATGTGTATATCAATCTTAGTGCTGTGTTAATATTCATATGGTACCGTTATTGTGTACTTTTGTATTTTAATGCTTTGGAAACACTGTTCTTGAAAATGTCATGCCAATAAAGCCCCTTTGAATTTGAGAGGGAATGCATTGTACAGACAGAAGTGTATTGTACATTTCTGCACACCACGGGGTAGTTGAATGTCGACATTTCTGAACCAAAAATACGATTCATTAATTCATGTGACATTTGCAGAAACGCACAATGCCACTGATAACTTTGTGAAGCGATTGGTTAGGTTGAGGAAACAAAACTACTTGTTGAAGGTTAAAAAAAGAGAAAAAGATCATGGTTCATTTGTGTTAAAAATAATAACGGAACTAGCATAAATAAATAACTGCATGGGTAAAATCGTACCCAGCACCCGGACCATCAGCACTGGCGGCCTTCAGGGATGTGTGCTCTCCCTACTGCTCTTCTCCCTCTACACCAACGACTGCTCACAGACGACACAACGGTCATCGGCCTCATCAGGGACGGTGATGAGTCTGCGTACAGACGGGAGGTTGAACAGCTGGTCCTCTGGTGTGGTCAGAACAATCTGGAGCTCAACCCCCTCCTATACTGCCCCTCATCACCATACTGAACATCCGGTCCTTCACCGCAAAAATCCAGTCTGTTCTCTGCTCCTCCATCACTGTGTGGTTTGGATCGGCCACTAAACGGGACAGGGACAGACTACAAGGGACGGTCAGGACTACAGAGAAAATGATTGGTGCCAGCCCTCCATCCAGGACTAGTACACCCCCAGAGTCAGGAAACATCACTGCAGACCCTTCACACCCTGGACACTACCTGTTTGGAAGGCGCCACAGAACACTGTAATCAAAACAACCAGACACAAGAACCGTTTGTTCCCAAAGCCTTTTCACTCTGATGGACACTTAACATCAGTCGCATAGTGTCAGGAACAATCCCTGTGCAATGACTCTGTACCACTAAACATCCAATGTACCTGTAAATTATATATTCTACAGTTTCTTTTAACATGAAGGCCAAATACCATCACTTCCAATAGAAATCTAATCACGCCATGTATACCGTCATATCCACTTACATGTGACATTAATACTTCCATATTTATTCCAGCACACTTTGTACTCGGTGCCACTGCACTATTGTCTCAAATATCAGTATCCGCCTCACACATCCTGTATTGGTTGGACTCTTATGGCTGGGAGTACAGGCAGTTGTAATAGCAGGTATAGCAGTTGTAAAAACAGAGAAGTAAGCAGGTTTTATTCTGGTCCGTCCATGTGACCTCCCAGAGGGGCGTTGGCTGTACGTGGACGGAGGTGGAGGGCTGGCTCTGAGAGGGACCTCTTTACTCAGTGTAAATAATAATGGAATGTGAACTCAAATACATGTCTGTGCGCATTAAGTGGGGCCATACAGCTTCGGAACCACATTAAACAAACAACACACAGTGACTGCATTCACATATCCCAACCGGACCCGTTTTTGTCCATTACAGAATGAACCAGACAGCACGTTCTTTACCGAGCGCCATGTAGCGGCCTGTCACACATGGTTCTGCAGATTTAACGGTTAGTTTCACCCAGGTAAATGTGCGCGAGGTTTGGCAGACTAAGAATAAACAAGTGGGCGGGACTTGAAGGTCCTGGAGTGGCCCGGCAGTTATGAAGACAAATATTTCCCCTCTGGATCAGTAAGGCGGGGGGAAAAGGTGCGTTTGGAGAGGACACAGAGGGCTGCTTTGTCCCCCTTCTCAGACAGGTCAGAACTCCCAATCTCTACCCCCCCCCCTTATTCCTCTATCCCTCTGCCAGTCTTCCTCCCTAAATCCCACCTTCCAGCTCCCCTCGTCCCCCTGCGCCCTCCTGCAGCTCACAGACCTTCTCACTTAAGAGATGCTATCGCTTCCCTGCCGTTACCTCCTGCTCATCCTTGCTCAACAGGTAAGAAGAGCATTCTCTTCTTTTTTATTTTCCTTTCTATTCTGACTCTATAGACAGTCTGAGGTTTTTGATTGGACAACACTTGAGGGCAAAACAACAACAGATGCTTTGGTTTTCTCAGTAGCAGGGCACCATCTGAATTTGCCTTTTCATAATTTGACTCTTGGAATATATCTATTTGGATAAATATTCTGAAATAATAATCAGCTGGCCATTTACAAGTATATTTGTATTCTCAATTTTATTGGGCTCAGAGTTGGTCCTCCTTTCACAGAGAGTAGAAAACGGGAGCGAAGTCTGAGGTCTTTGTATTTAAAGCTCCCGTGGACCCATTTTCACACCATGAAATGAGCTCATTCAGTAAACCTGGCAGACAGGCTTCAGATTTTTGGCATAGCCCTCAGTGACCCTTGAGCAGCAGTCGGGGGAATTGGAGCACAAGTGGCACCACGCAGAGATTGCATCATAGCAAATACCAAGCAGTTGTATAGGCCCGCACACTAAAATATTTATAAGCTGTTGGGCTGTCACCGCTCCGAGCCATCTGTAGTCTTTTACATTTGAAATGCCTTCTTCCTCGATGTGCAGTTAGGTTGAAGGCTTTAAAACATGGCTGTGTGACCATAATAGGAAAAATGCTCAAATTCATAGCTACAAAAGAGCGTCACATCATTTGAGGTGGCAGTGAAAAGGAAGAAGTTGAGATTGTAACCGATTGGGCTTAAAAGACCAGTGTGTAGGGTTAGGCGTCATCTAGTGGTGAGTTGGCAGATTGCAACCAACCGAAGCTTCTCCAGTGTGCCACGCGTGCATGTGAACTATGGTGGCCGACGCAAAAAATGTGGAAACTGGATTGGCCCTATTTAGAGCCAGTGTTTGGTTTGTCCGTTCTGGGCTACTGTAGACACATGGCTCTGTGAAGAAGTGCTGACGAAAACACGATTCTTATTTTGAGATGAATTAATGAGATCATTAATATATTCCTGTTAATATATTACCCTAAATGCAACACACTGCCCCTTTAAAATGTATGTTTGCATTTTAAAGGGAACTTTTCTCTTTTTTTTCCCTTTTTGAATTCTTGTAATCGACAGTAAAGAGCTAAAATAAATATGCGAGGCGAGTTAGATAAACCTCATGAAATCCCACAACAGCTAACAATCCCATCATGCAATACGTTACATTTCATAGGTGCGAAAATGTACACCTTCAACAGTCAGTGATGATGCAAAATGATGGTTAGAATGAGCCGTTTGTATCTACATACGGAACTCCGGGTCCTTTTGACGGAGCCGGCCGCCATGTTTCTACAGTAGCCCAGAATGGACAAACCAAACACTGGCTCTAGAGAGGGACATTCGCATGCTAACTCCTACACACTGGCCCTTTAAAAAAGGCTCAGAAACTCTGTTAACAGCTGGGCACTGTAGTTTTTAGGTCAAACAAAAGTGAATAGTCCATTTTTTGGGGACTATTTTCAGCAGCGGATTAATCCACATTCAGTGTTCTAGTGAGTATTTAGGACAGCGGGACTGTGCATGAGGCACTGATGTCAAAGAGGCATGAAGCAGGCAAATATTTCTCCAAAGTTTCCTGAGGCAACTTTGACACAGAATGTAAATTTAGCTTTTCCACCTTTTAGTTTCATCAGTGGGACCTTTAGCCATCCGTACAAATCTCTTGTATACAACCAACATGCATGAATTCAGTCAGAGGAATGATAGAAAATGGCAATCTGATATGGCCTTTTGGTGACTGAGCTAGTTATTCTTTCGTAGTCTTGATTGAAACCTTCTGTTGTGTTTTGTTTTTTCGTAGTTGATGATCAGCCTCTTTGACTTCAAGACTTATGTTAAACCTCAATACCTAACGGCTGGCTCAGTACCTGTTCTCTATCTGACTCGTGGTGAGACACCACAGGCTCTCACTGTTAGGAACGCGGTAACGAACACCCACAGAACACGAGAGAGAGATTGGATTTTCTTCAGCTCATGCTGATTTATTTGCATCAAAAAGAGTACATGTAACGCGAGCTGTCCGGATTCAACTTCACAATAGCACTGTACACTACTTTATACCCCAAGCCCCCACCCCCCCTCCTCTGAACTCTCACCTAGACAAGTTACACGGTGTACCTCGAACAAGTTATAACACAAGTTGTTTTTTAATAAACCAGTCTTGCCCTACTGGTTTAACTCCCCCCCCCCCCCCCCCCTCTTACCTTTACTAGACTCCCTGTCTCAGTGACGTGAATAACATATGACAATGATACCGGCCATTGTCACAGTATGAATGTGAATATAAATGGATACATTTCAAATGAAGGATGATTGATTTTACACAAATATATATTTCAAGACAAAAATACATTTTTCTCCCACAGACACAAACTAGAAGTAACTTGTAGGCTCTCTCTCTCTCTCTCTCTCTCTCTCTGGAAAAGTAAGAACATCTCGTATGAGAGGGTATTTTATGACTGTGGTGGCCCGTTACAGATTCTGCAGTTCAAACAAACTACCTCACACGTGGCATTTTCTGACCGACCTCGTCATACTTTTTCTAACGTAGCTAACCATGCAGCTGTCCATGGGATTATAGACAGGTACTGAGTTAACACTGCAAAGGTGTTACTGTTTTCCATTCAAAAAGATGCCTTTGAGGTGCGAGGGTGTGCTGAGTAAAAGTGTTACGAACATCAAACACAGCTCCAGTAAACAAATGGTGAGCTAAAGCTGATGGATCTCTGCCCTCCTCCCCCAGTGCTTCAGCTGGGCTCAGAACAATGGGCAGCTGACTCCTCGAGACGGGCGGGCCGCGGCCGAGAGGCGGCAGTTCTGCCAGTGGCCCTGCAAGTGTCGGCAGAGACCCCACTGCGCCCCGGGGGTGAGCTCCGTCCTGGACGGGTGCGGCTGCTGCAAGAGCTGCGCGAGGCAGATCGGAGAGCCGTGCAACGAGAGGGACGTCTGCGACCCGCACAAGAACATGTACTGTGACTTCTCAGCTGACCGGCCCAGATACGAGGTCGGAGTGTGTGCATGTGAGTGGCTTTCATCTTCGTCATGGAGGGAATGAATACTAGAAACGTGCATCCGATATACTGAGATAACAGCTGTAGCCTAATTAAAGTTGCAGACCTCTAGTAGCTACGGAGCTGTTTTTATATGAGCCGGGCCCAACGAATCAATTATTTTGTCCTAAAAAGATGTAAGTAAGCCGGCTCAGCCAGCAGAAGTCTTGGACGTGCACAGTCTCAACCTGCTTAGCTGGACAAAAATAGAAAAAGAGTTTTTTTCAGCATAACCACTCAGTGAGCAGCTCCAATAGGAATGAATGGGCCGCTATCTTTGAAGGCATCTCTCCTTAATACAGCCATGGTCTACACCGAACATCCAGTCCCCAAAATGTAAGCCAATGCGGAAGTGCCAAAAACTGCCGTTCCTCAAATGGCCACTTCTTCAAAGTCGAGTCAATCCCCATAGACTGCAATGTTAAAATGCCCAATTTAACAGCAGAAATAAACATGTTTACAGCCCGGTCTCTATAGCTAATATCCCTGTTCCTGTCAACTGTACGTGGAGTATATCTTTACACAACTCAGCCGTTTAAATTGACTCAAGGCTTAAAGTTATGCATAATTAAGGGCGTGGACGCTTTGAGTGACCACTGTGATGTTCAGCATTCAGTCGTACTAGACACTCCCACATTTTGTCTTAAGCCTGTTTTTCACGAGACAAAATTAGCTTCCCAATTAATATCACAGTTAACGGGAACTACAGATGCATCTTGCTCCCCAAGCTAGCTAGCTAGCTACCTGGCCCTGCCTCGCTCCCAATATCATCACTTCTGGTTCCAAAAAACTAAGATGGTGACGGCCAAAAATGCCAAACTCGAGGCTTCTAAATGGAAGTCCACAAACCACTGAGTGACATCACGACTACGTCCCCTTCTTGTATAGTCTATGCACCATGAGCGTTTCAGGCATGTTTTAAAGTTTCACGAGCATCTGATGGAACACACACACATTGTAATCAATAAAGCTGCCGACACAGCTAACGTTTCTGCTACGAATGTACCTGCAATCAACGTATTAATTAATGTATACACATTGCCAAACTTTTATTGTATGAATGAGTACATTTTTGTAAATACATTAATGCCAGATTGTATTTTTTAATATTTAGTTTGTCAACATAATTGTGTGACCAAATAAAAGTTATGTACAAATCTCACACATTTTAGATTCCCATTAACGTCATGAAGAGAGTTGCGCTGCCTGAGCTGTGACATGTTTCCCCTCACTCTGTCAGACCTGATGGCAGTAGGCTGCGACCTGAATGGGGCCCACTATGAGAACGGAGAAGGATTCCAGCCCAGCCCCCTCTATAAGTGCACTTGTATTGCTGGAGCCATCGGCTGCACCCCCGCTTTCATCCAGAAGCCTGCTGCTCTCCTGGGCCCCGCGCCGCTGATGGGCAGCATGCCAGCCGGCCTTCGCAGTGGCCAGAGCCCGAAGAAGCACCAGCAGGACACGACCTACATGTCAGGTGTGTGTTTATGGAGCAAACCTGTGCACAAGCGTCTGGCCTGGAATGCTAATTGCTGTCTGAGTTAGCTGGTTGGGGGGGAAAGGGGAGTGTGCGTGTCATTGCTAAACAGAAAGATGGATGGTTCCAGTTATGAGCAGCACGAGGGACGACTGCCTGTTTTTATTAAAAGCACAGTACATTCTACTTTGATGTACCAGTCATTGGTTTGCATGAAACTCTTGCAGAAACATATCTATATCATGACCTGTCGTGGAAACAAACATTTCATTTCTCACTGGATGAACAGAGCACATTGTTTAGATTTAAAATCTAAGAGCTGACATACTCACAAGGAAACAGAAATACAGTTTCAGTTCTGCTAAATGCCCCTTTCTACTCTACTCATTCTTCTTAACTCGTGTACAGTAAGCACAGCTCTAAAGGAATTTAAAGTTTTGGTGAATTTCCTTGGAGGGTTAGGTATGTGGGGCCTATGCACTGCTTGGCAGTACGGTGGCACATAGTTCTTTGCACGGGGTGTTGCTGACACAGTGCCCTTTAACTGTAAAACTGAAAGCTTACAGGGATCCTCCTTTAGCCTGGAAGAAGAACTGTCTGATCCAGACCACGCCCTGGAGCCCCTGCTCCAAAACCTGCGGCCTGGGCATCTCGGTGCGCGTCGACAACGACAACGGCAAGTGCGAGATGAGGAAGGACCAACGCCTGTGTCTGCTGCGGCCGTGTGAGAAGAGCGTGATGAGGAGTGTTAAGGTGACAAGTTTGTCAAAATTCTATTGAAGTGTTGATTTATTAGAGATCCTCCAAAAAATATACACAAACAAAATTCGCTGTTTTCTCCTCTCAGATGCCAAAGGGAAAGACGTGCCGGCCTAAGTTCCAAGCGAAGAAAGCGGAGAAGCTGACGCTCTCGGGCTGCACCAGCACCAAGAAGTTCAAGCCCACGTACTGTGGCGTCTGTACGGACAAGCACTGCTGTGTCCCCAACAAGTCGAGCATGATCAAAGTCAACTTCACGTGCAAGGCGGGCTCCAACACACAGTGGAAGATGCAGTGGATCACGTCCTGCGTGTGCCAGAGGAAGTGCACCGATCCAGACGACATGTTCTCTGACCTGCGGTTACTCTGACGGATCCAACCGAGACACAGGCGCTGGGACGTGATCCCTGCTGTGGCGGACTAAGGACAGAAACATATGCATACTCTGGTCATTAAGTTAGAAAAAACAACCTCTTTTCGTAAGGAACGAGTGGCTGGGATCATTGAATAGATGAAGACTTCTACTTATGATAAAAGCTTTTATGAGCCCTATCTTCAGGACATGCATGTGCAATAAGAACAAGGAATCTGGCCAGCGCCTGTAGCTGTAACAGCAGATGCTGACATATTAACAGAACCTCATAATACTACGGTCAGGGAGCCAAGAAATGGCAAATCAGGTTACACAGATTGAGTTGTTGTTGTTCCTTGTGTTACATTTTAAATCGGGTCATGAATCAGACAATATTGATAAATAACTTATAAAGGTATGTACAAAAGATTTGGTTATGTGAAGTCCTTATTGAAAACACAATCTCTGCCGTAGAAGGAGACAGACACAGAGGCTGATCAGCTACACAGAGATTTACAACAGAGCGGAAGCTTCAGCTGGCGATGCCGAGTCTGGGTGCGTCGGGCACGAGTCTCCCCTTGGTGGCATCCAGATGGTGGTACTCTTCAATCAGCGAGCTCAGTGAGCCCACAGCCTCCGAGAAGAAGCTCTGCTCCATCCCGTCCACATGCAGGTAGTGGTGGAGGTGAGCCTGGAAAAGACATAGAGGGCGTGCCGGTCACTTATGAAGTCTGAGAAAACTATTTCAATCGGACTTAAGATTCCTCTTAACTCATTTCATTTACATATCCAAAACAAATGTCCACCGCAAGAAGCTACAGTATCGTCAAACTGTCCAAAAACCCCAGAAGGTATTCTATGATAAAAACTAGTGATCCACACATTTAACAAGATGCATCGAGAAAACATTTGATGGTTTGATGTATAAGTGACACATTACTTGGATGAAACTTATGTTGGTCTAAAAAACATACAATGACTTTGCACCTTCTTCCTGTAGAGCTTGGTGAAACGTTCCCTCAGCTCCATGAAGGTGAGCTTCACACAGGTGTTGTTGGCCAGGGCCAGCAGGGAGTGGGCGTGACCCACAGGAGGCACCGAACACAGGCCCGTCTTCCAGCCCTCCTGGTTCCACGAGACAAAGGGCAGCGAAGGCTTCAGTCTAGAGCAGGGACGAGAACGACCCGTCAAACGCAAGGAAAGGGCTGCAGTGCTCATGGAGCACCTACGGGCATTTTACAATGATCCAAATGTCTTTAACCTATGATGGTGTATTAGGGCCATTGTAAGTAAAACAAATTATAAAATAAAATTTCAGGGGAAGGGGTTAATATTCTAAGAATAATTTTCATGAGAAAAATACATGGATATTCTGTGAGATGTAAGTGGTCATTTTACAAGGAATAAAAACCTCACAAATTTACGAGAAAAGATTATAAAGCCATAAAGTTGCAAGAAATAAAAATTGAAATTCTCTTGAGATTAAAATCAGAAGTTCACAAGAAAAAAAAATCTTGAAAAAATGTCTTTATTTTTTTTACCCGAATCACCTAGTTGATCATTAGGTTAGTTAAATGAGTTTCCTCAATTCCAAGTTGACGTCTTCAAATGTCTTGTTATGTCAAACCAGCCGTCCAAAACTCAAAGGGATTCTGTTGATGATTTTAAATAGAGAAAAGCAGCAACTCTTCATCTTTGAGCAGCTTGAACCATGTTTGGCACTTCTGCTTGATAAAACGGTTCACCGGTCAACACCTCCTTTGTTGGTGTTTAGTTTCGTCAACACTTCCAAAGTTTATGGTAAAAACCTCCAGTTTTTATTTGTTCTATGAACGAAATTTAATTTAAAAAGGGACCAATAAACAGTAAATTATGCTGCAGTATGTCCAGTTTAATGTGTGCCCTTAAGAGTCTTTTGGTGGGGTATCATTTCTTCTTATAGAAGTATACTTTCTGCCCCCCCCTTCTGTTTCAGATTCCCTCGACAACACGCCACATGAAAAACAAGGCCTGCGGGGGGAGAGCTGAGGGGAGAGGGGAGGGGGCTGCTGAATGGACCAGTCATGAATCACCGCTGCCGGTGCTGAATGGGGGCACTATTTAGAGCCCATCAGGATTGGTGCAGTGGGGGTGGGGGGGCGGCGGCTGCTCTGACCTCTCGATGTTCCTGCGGACGTCAGACACCTGCACGTTGCCCCGGACCATGAGGGCGCAGGCCAGGTAGAGGCTGCGCCTCGGGTCGGCTCGGATCAGCTGGTGGTCTTTGCTGAAGGCATCGCTGAACATCTGATCCAGTCTAGAGGGGCACGGTTAGAGGAGACAGGAAACCAAACATGACAAACGCTATACTTCCACATAACACAGCCTTTGTGCTTTAAATCACTGCATTTTCAATTCGGTTGTATTTCACGGAAATCTTTCGCCCTCATATTGTCGAAACAGAGCAGCTTCTGTTGGTAGCGAGCTTTAAACACGCTGTCTACAAAGCTCCACACAGGAGGACAGAAACTAGCATGACAGTAAATGGCAGCAAAGCGCAGGTAAGACTTTCCCACGGAGCTGAAATAAAACAACCGAAATTGGATAAATAAAATATTTTGTTTATTTCTTTCAAGGAGAGGCGGGTGGTTTCCGTTGGGGGGGAAACAGAAACACCAGTCTCTATTTACTGGTTATAGTGGGTGAAAGGTGGAGGAGGGATTTCAGGTACACTGGAGTTAGACTCGGGGCCAAAGGGGGCAATATTTGTACCTTTGTGTCCAGGCAAGTTCTGCTGAGCATACAAGATATTTTTAAGCAACACCCTGATCTGCATTCATACATACATTCCCCTCCCCGCCCTGTGCAAATTTAAAATATGTTTTCATATAACTTCTGAAGACATAATATATCACATAATTAATACAAACATCTTAAAAAGGGAACAAAATGAGTTATCGAAGTTTTGCTTTTGTAAGTATTAAGAGGTTTGTCTATCCAGTGTATTGAACATCAGTTTAATCATTTATTATTTTGTTTTAATTTATTTGCCACAACAATATACATATTGGTAACAAAAATAAAATTGCTATTATAATATATATATATAATAAATATCTGTGAGCGTGAGCTACTCTCTGTTTAAAGCCAGAAACCAGAGAAGTCGGTCTCTGTTATTCAGTGTAAAGTCTGGAGCTGCTCCAGAGACAAAGAGCTTTATTCTATTGTATTGATCTCAGTTGTGAAGGACAGAATGTACATGTGATATCAAAAGATTGAGAGAGTTGTTCATGTTTACTAATATTTGTGGACTGTCTTAGACCAAAGGAATCAGATCTATAAAAATGGGGGTAGTTCCCCTTTAAGTCTACAGTACCAGCACTGTTTCAAATGGCATTCTACACACTCCCGATCAGTGAGAGGGAGGGGGGGGTGCCTTCTCATTCATCACTACCGTCAACATGTGTGTGTGTGTGTGGTGTGTGTGTGTGTCTCAATACCCGGGATTCAAAGAAACAACTGTGAGGTAGAAAATAGCCGCAGTGACAGCCAGAGAGCAGACCTTCTGGTGGGGACACTGACATCGGCCAGCGTGTACAGAGGGGTGAGGCTGGGCACCAGGTAGTGCAGCCGAGGGAAGGGCACCAGGTTCATGGCGATCTCGTTCAGGTCCATGTTGAGGGATCCGTCGAAACGAGCCGAGCTGGAACAAAGAAAACTTAGGGCGAGGCATACAGCAACAAGTGATTTAGCAGGAAAAGACGTTTTCTCTCTCTTTACATTACAGTCATTTAGCAGAGGCTTTTATCCAAAGCGACTTACGATTCAGTCTATCACATTCATACACCTACGGGAGCAATTTTGGGGTTAAGTGTCTTGCTCAAGGACACATCAACATGCGACTAGCGGAGCCGGGGTTCGAACCGCCGACCCTCTGATTGAAAGACGGCCCTGCTATCCACTTAGCCACAATCGCCCACAATCACTCTCTCCCTCTCCCTCTCTCCCTCCTGGTGGAGGAGGTAGGTCGGTTCTCTTTTCTTTGGCGACACCTGGAAGCTGCCCGACATCCTCCCGATTCCATTTCTTTCATATGCGTTTTACATTTCCGCCATGCTGATTGTCTAGGCTGTCGTTTTATTACGTTGGTTATTGCGTTTACACAACATCTATTTCCTGTCTGTCCATCCAGCAGTGATGGAGTAATGCATAATGGATGAGAGACAATTCGCTCCGCCAGACCCGCAAACCACCAACTTTATGCATTATAGTAGCACAATTGTTAGGACGGAGGTCTGAGAACTGCTGCTTGCAGTGTGTGTGTGTGCGCGCGCGTGTGTGTCTCTGATTGAGCGAGAGCAACAGAAAGAGGGGGAGAAAATGTGGACCATAGCAAGCTTCTTTGTCACTTTTTTGACCTGCCCGCTCAAACTTGCAATCTTTTCTAGTAAGCTTCCATTAGAGAGTTTTTGGGGTTGTTTTTCCTCATCAGAATCAAGTATCCAAGGACAGAGGGTGTCGATACTGATATTTGGGGTGTATAAATAAATAGACTTAATACTACAGGACAAAATACAGTCTGAAAGCTACAGGTGGGTGCCCGATTGAAGAGACAAAAAAAGAACTACACGAGGAAACAAAACAAAGGCGGATGCTTCCATACAGGAGACAAGGGTCCAGTGAGTGGTTTGATGTGCTCAAAAAAAATGAATCATACGTTGTGGCTTTCACAGTCTCCAGATCTAGTGGTGAAAGAAACACTCGTCTGTGTGTGAGCAAACAGAAATACTATACCTGGTGATGTTGAGCAACAGGTTAGCCACGATATTATTCATGGCATCGAAGGGCTTCTCTGCCCCGCTGAGCCCGCCCTGCCCGGAGATGACGGCGCTGTCTCTCTTGATGGCCGACCCCGGCCTCCCACCGTGAGACATCTGTCTGATCTTGTTCACAATGTCCACCAACGACTGGAGGAGGAGAACAAATGCTCGTCGGCTGTCAACGTGTGCATATGGCAGAGATTCTTGCAGAAAGAGGAGAATAAAAAACACACTTGGTTTTCGACGGGCAGGACACAGTCGGCGTGCTCCGTGAGCTCCCTCATGGCCAGGACGCTGTTGTAGGGGGAGGTGACGACGTCGTCCTCTGCGGACGGATAGATGGAGGAGACGATGCGACACACCTCGGGGAACTCCTCCTCCAGCAGGCTCAGCACCCTGGTCCCCAGGCCGGAGCCCGTACCTCACATTCAACATCGGTGCATTAACTGTCTGCTGTAGCCCGTCTTCCTCAGTGTCACGTTCACCAGAAACTTGGTTTCTGTTAATAGTGTGGAATACTGTAGAAGCCTGATTTTCCCAGCTTAACTTCCTCCGGAGAAAGCACATTTTTTAGGCACGTAAACATACACCGAGGTATGTGTAAAACAGAAGACGTGTCAGTCCAAATGCTTTGACATACACGCACAAAATACAAGACTAATAAAATCAGGAAGCGGTCAAACTGTCCCCGTCTTACCTCCTCCCATAGAGTGAATGAGAAAGAAGCACTGCAGACAGTCGCAGTGTTCCGCTGCCTTCCTCAGCTTGTCCACTATCTGCTCCCTGTAGGCTGAGCCATACGTCAGGTATCCGACTGCCCTGGAGAGAAAGAAGGAGAAGTATTTTAATGCAAAGTTGTAAAACAATGTTTTGGTTTCATGAAGCAAGAATGGGCTGTTCAACTCATAAGTACTATGTATAAATGAACTTTTGCTTCCAGAATGGTAGATTCATTTTCTAATTTGGGTCGAATACTGAAAACATATTTTCCACTTTTGTAAACTTCGCAAGCGGTTGGAAAAAAAAAAAAAAAAAAAGAATGTGGCAATAGACAGTCTCTGGTGCAGCAGTGAGTGAGTCTGTCTGACAGAGAAACACAAAGTGGAGACTACAAACATTATATGTTCACACACTCTTTGTGGTATTTGCTGGATGTTCCAAAGATTGACAGATATTCCAACGGTTTGTTATGGCTGGTGACACCCCAGAAAAAAATATATATGTTCGAAGATGCAACCAATTATTGTAAGAATTTAAAGGGGGGGGGGGGGGGGGGGGGGGGGGGGGGGGAGGGGGACGGGCGGGGGTAGTCGACATGCTGTGAGAATCACAGCTCTAAAATAACTCAAACACGTGTCTCTCTGTGAACTGCCTTTTAACATGCTGCAAAATCCACTCCGGGTGTTTCAACTGTTCTGCATAAGAGGCATTGCTTCTTTTTAACAATGGCTGTCAGGCTAAAACCTCCAGAGGGGGTATTAGCACTGGCCCTGTCAGGAAGCACAGCTGACCTTTCCTCCTAATTATGCTCTGTAGGCTTGAGCAAATGGGGGAAAGAAAACTAGAGCCACTTGTTGAGACTACTACGCTTGTCTGGAATTTGAAATGTAGCGTCTGTGTAATACAGCAGGTTTTTATGATTTCAATTCATATTTAGAACTTTAAGAAAACAACTCTGGCAATCCAGCTTCATCGACTCAATCCCTGAACACAACTCTCTGTGGTTTAACCGCTTGTGAAACAGGTAAAATGATGGTTCGTAACAGTTGCTGCCGGCCACATGAGCCCGTGTGCAGACGGCCCCATTGCTCGTCTGTCTCTCACCAGTTGTTGCCTGAACCCGACACGTCCGTGAGGAGCTGGGTGCTGTCGAACACTTCTCTCAATGGGCCCTGCAGGATCTCGTTGACCACACCCTCCTCCATGTCCACCAGCACCGCCTGTGGATTCAAATATGCGAGTATGAGGCCAGCACAAATTTTTTCGTTGCCTTTGACAGCCCGCCATCATTCCTCAACTCCTCTTTGTAACCTTAACCAATGGATGCCTCACCTGAAAGGCAGAATCCAACCCTGACCTCGGCCTCCGACTCTAAAATAAGCTGTTACCCCCTGTGAAGACCAGGGGATGAAAGCTGTTCTCACGCCGTTTTCTAATTAAGGAGCAAAAACTTACCCTGGCCTTCAGATGCTGGATCCTCCCACCAACAGCACAGGCTCCCCCATCCCTCTCCCTGGAGGAAGAAACCAAACATAACAGGGCTACATTTGGACCGCTGCACGGAGGCTAATGTCTCAACCCATTTAGCCGTTACTCAGTGAAAGAAGGTGGGATTACCTTGAGTCCACGTTTCGGAAAAAGCTACCCAGTGCCTCATCATACAATCCTTTCTGAATATGAGGGGGAACAAATAGGATGTTAGTGATGTCGTTACAGGTCGTGGTAGGCGATCAACATGTCTGTTTGATGAGTGAAGGACACAACAACAATGTTTATGCATAGCCTGTGTATTTGCGTGTGTGCTAGAGGTGTAAACATTTCTCAATATAAATTTAAATTCAAAGGCTGCTTTATGGGAATTAAATATATGTTAACTGATTAATCGATTTATTGTCGGTCTATACAATTTCAGACAATTGCTTATCACAGTCGAGATCCTCGACTGGGACGTGTCGTAGTGTCCCTGAGCAAGACACTGAACCTCAGGCTCCCCGGGCGCCTGTCATTGGCAGCCCACTGCTCCCTATATACAGGGATGGGTCAAATGCAGAAGTCAAATTTCGTGTATGTGTATATGTATATGACAATAAAAAGGGTTTCTAGGGTTTCAATTCTCAGCAAGGAAAGGAGGATCTCATGCACATAAAAGTATTACCATATGATATATTACTGTATGCTCTACTACTAATGCAGTCTTTTTTCATTGTATACATTTTCACTTACAGTAACCAGAGAAGCACAGTTGTAAGTAAGTACGTGAATTTATCATTGCTCCATTCTACTGAAGAATCCCAGTTAAAAAATATGTAACTCATGCATCATTATTGTTTAATGACATGTCAAAATGTCTGTTGTGAAGAAGAAGAAACAAGCCTATTGTGAGCTAATGTAAGATGAGAGTGAGGTTGTGTTTGACTTGAATGATGGTTAAGTGCCTTTTCCGTATCGCAAGTGTGTGTTACTTACTTTATTGACGTGGGCGTGTTCTCGCAGAGCGAGGTCCCAGAACCTGCAGCCGACCTGGTTTCCACACTGTCCAACTGAAGAACACCAATTCAGAGTGTAGTTAGCACATGCTGGGGGAAATGTTTCCGCGTGCCAACCGTCCGTTAACTCAGCGGTAGGGTTAACCAACTTAACGAGCTCAGAACTTATGATGAAGTTATGACCGTTCCGCTAATAGCGAGGCTACAGTACCTACAAAGCAAATGACGGCTAAGCTAGCTGTTAGCTCGTGTCTGGATGCTAACGTCATCCAGACACCCGGGTTGTAACTCACCTTGGACAACGACTGACTGTGTCATGGCAGCAGCAGCACGCAGAGCCCTTTCTAACGCGGGGCTAAGGCATAGTTAATGTTAACTTTATTCAATAACTGTCCATTAAGACGACTTTTAGAGAAGACTTTTGAACGCTTCTCGTCTCGCGCCTCCACTGTGTTTGGTCGAGGGCTGATGACGTTTTACCATGGAAACGACGTATTTGGCAATGCAGAGCGTAAACTGCAGCTTGCAATTCATATTCATTCATCACTTATCTCTTTGGCTCATGAATATTTAAATCATTAATATGTATTTTTTTATATATCAATTAAGTCTCCGTCTCCTACACATGGCAGACTTTTATTCAAAACTATTTTGAAGTAGTTTTGCTACTTTCTTTTCCACATACTTAATACATTTATGGATGAACAAACTACCTAAAAAAAATAATAAAGTATTCAACAGAACCTCCGTTATGATTCTAAATTTCTGGTAAAACGAGAGAGAGAAAAGATTTTTGATTCTAGCCAATCATGCACCAGAAAGTATTTCTGTTTAGACATAAGAAAAACAATTACTAGTGTCCGTAGTTACTATTTCTTCATCACAGAATAAACAGTTATTGGGATCAATGTTGAACCTTTGTCTAAAGAGTTCTCCTGATGAATATGTATCTTTGTATACTTGAAATGAACCTCTTTTGCTTATGGAGGTAAAGGTAACTTTACAGAAGTTGATGCATAATTTCTTTAACGTATAGGCTGACAAAATGTATGAGTTGCTGAGTTCCTGCTGAATTGCATGGGAAATAAATCACATGTAAAGAGACTACGGCTCACTTTGTTTGGAGAGATCTTACTTGAGAAATCGTGTCCATCATTGATCAGTGAAGGAAGATTGGAGGGGGCAACCACATGAGTCGTGAATATGCTTCTAATAACCTCATCGGATTGTTTACGGTTGCATTAATTTTACTGGAAATGAAATGCTGCAGAATTTCTCAACAGGTGAGATGTTGCTACAATCATCTAATAAGTGGGTGATGGACCAAATCATTTTCTCCACCCAGTCACTGTAGAATAGAGACCTATTTCTAAAAAGAATGGATCTGTAATTTGAGATGGGTGCGGTGTGAAACTGTGTTTGTAAAATAGCGTTCAATACAACCACTTGTGATGGGAATGAGGACAATTTTACAGGTAATTGTTGAACAAAAAAGTCACAACGTAGAAGACAATCAATACCACAAATCATAAAAAAATACCAAAAGCTGTAATATTTGATTTTGAAGGGTTCCATTTACACAGTCAAAGTCAATGGCCTGTGGACCATCACCTTCCTAATCGTCTGCAATGGCAGCTTTCTTCATAGAATGAGGTTTTCTTTTCCAAATGTCAAAGTGTATCTTGTTGATGGTCTTTAGCTGGATGAATGCACCTTGAAAGACTTTCCATCTTTGTTGTATAATTATGACCTGAAAAGAGAAAGATCTCTAGTTGATCACCTGTCTCATCTTGACTGGCGTTCCTCCATGTTGTTCCATATATTCAAAGTTTCACTTCATTTAGCATGCTTTGTAATATGCACACCTATCATATTGATATAATGGGGATACCGTCTGCTGCCACAAGATGGCAGTCATGTATAACTCATAAACCCACCTTTTTTTCAAGTTCAATTGTAAACCAGATGCTTCTGAAAATAAATCTAGAGTCTAAACGGCTCAATATGTAAATTCTTTAGAAGAATATTTCCGCTGAGGAGAGATTGGGAAATGGGCAGCCTTGTTTTATGCTTCTGTTAATCGTAAGCATTGAGCTATTAGCATCATGATAAACGCATTTCCTGAAATTCTCTCCATGGCTGGAAAATAAAAGGAGATTTCCCAATAATATCCATCCACCAACCTTTTATGGATACAAACGGAGCTACTCGCTCTCTGTCTCAGTCTGGAGGTTGTCACAAAGTCATTACACATTGGACTGACTTTGCTATGAATATTCCCTGGGTAAAAGTTTGGCCATTGCAGAACAAATATTACAAATAATTACATACATATTGTTTACAAATAATTTTGAACTGTACATAAAGAAAGATTCTAAACCAACGAATAGGCCATAAAAACTACATGAAACGTCCTCGTTTTAGAAACCAAAACCCGTACATGGATGTAAAATATGTTTTATTTATCAGAAATAAAACTGTACAAAAACAAAAGTTTTGAACATGAACTTGTGCAAAAACAAAAGTGTCATTGTGAGTATAAGGTGGGATGGTGGAACATAAAATGCATTAACATCTTTTATATTATGTAAAAAGTCTAAATCATGGACACACTGTAGGTTCCTCAGGATGGTTGTGAGCCTTTCATCTTATAAATCTTTACCGGTTATTTTCAAATTTGGGACAATTTGGTCGTATTCTTGGCATGAGACATTATCATGTAAATAAAAAATAAAAAAATACAGAAATGAATGAAAAAATGACAGTAGAAGAGAGAAACAAGGACAAACAGTGACGATACTTCTCTTAATGGTTACGTTGGACAGAAAGAGCGTTTTGTAACGTATTTGGTCAGTGCTGTATTGGGGATGGTGTGGACGGAAGTGTTCACGCTGCGGGACAGGTTCCAACGCTGACCGCCCCGCTGACCAGAACGGCTTTGCTGAAGCTCACTCGGCTGTGATTGATGGTCAGGTTCCTCACGCAGCCCACGTAGGGCTTCTGGGTGGCGATGCTCTCTGGGAGGAAAAGATCTGAGGAAGGAAGAGTGCGTAGCACGTTTAGAGAGATGTGATGATAGACGAGTACAACGGAGGAAAATCAGAAATGTCTTCCTGGGTTCACCTGGAGCTCCGCCAATGAACACTGGCTTCTTGGTGTTTGTGGAGCCGGGGTCCAGGGGACCCACCACATGGTTGACCTCAGAGTCCACATCCAGCTGGACGACGTTGGCGTCCCGGATCACTGAGATCAAGCAAGGATGGAACACATCGGTTTAGCCAAAATAAATCCAAACAAGTTTATATAATGAATCCAAATAACTGTGGGCTACTATTAAGAGTATTTAGACTATTTAATAGCATTAGTAATAGTATTCAAAGTATTCAGACACGTTATTTAGGAAAAGTAGCAAAACCACAATGTGAGAAGTCTCAGTTACAAGTAAAATTATTGTATTTCAAAGTTTACTTCAGTAGAAGTAAAGAAGTGTTTTCATAAAAATATACTGTGCAAATATGACAAAAAGCTTTTGATAATTTTTTATCAAAGTTACCAACTGTAGTTTTAACTAATACATTCTCACCAGTGATTCTGTGCCAGTTGCCGGCACACAGACCCTGTCTCGGCGACACCTTTGTGAAGAACTCATGCGACCCATCGTTCACGAGAACCACCACCTGGAGACACGCCAACACTGCATCCATACTTTTGAACGGAAGGTGCATGTTTGATCAACACGATGTGTTTTTTTTTCTTACTTACCGCCCCTTGATGAATGTACATGGTAAAGTAGCCCTCAGCAGTGCGCACATTCAGCAGGACCCCCGATGTCACGCGGGGGCGCACCTCCATCACCAGCTCAAACCTCAGCCCCAGGTCGAATGTTTCATCTGAAGGAGGAGAAGCAGAGCGAGCGAGATGAAGTGAGTTCTGGGGCACCTCATCCGCTCCGGGCCTCACCTCTCTGCCACATTAATCAGCCGTGGTTCTCTGCGGTGCGCGCACGTGTGAAATTACTCCGCTCCTTCAACAGCTGCAGTTTCGGTTCCCAAGTTCCTTGGGGCGTTCCCCACCCCTCCCTCCCTCCCTCCCATCCTCTGCTCTCCCCTCTCAGCAGAGACACACTTTCACCACAGTTGCACCGAGGGTATCATGTTCCTCCACCCAACCGAACTCTCTCCGTGCACACAGGGATGGTGAGAGACCAGCCGGGGCTTGTGAGTTTTTTTCCACAAGGGAATCTAATGAGCCGCGTAATATAACAGATGTTCAATTTCACAAACAGTTGCCCGATGTAACATACGGGAAGAAAGATTGCACAGAATCAACACTGTGACATCTTTGCATTCATACAAAGCGTAGAATTCCTTTTGTCTCCCATTATCAAACTACTAGAATGTACCTAGCACGACATATCCTCCTTCCTCTGAGAAGTACGTTCCCGCCTCAGAGAGTCCCTCGAAGCACGGGGTGACCCCAAAGGTCTCTGCCCCGGAGGACAGCCACTGTCCGTCAAGCTGAAGGTTCTTCAGGCAGCCGGTGAAGCTGTACGCAGAGTTCCTCTGAAGGGAGACACGCGGAGACGCATATCAGAAGGTGAGATATACATTATGGGGTTATTCTTCAAACTCACAGGGAGCTGGGTATTTAAGTGATTACAAAGAAAAACTTGAATTCATAACCAATAAAACACATCCTTTTTATAATTTTTCATTTCGAGAATGTAAGAAAGTCAAAATGTCCAGAATAAGGTGGAATTTTTAGTATTAGTGCCAGACATAAGACATCAGAGGAGGAAGATTGTTTATTGATTTATAATAAAGTTGAATTGTTGACAATAATGTTGAAACAGCATTTTGAGAATAAAGTTGAAATTTTGAGAATAAGTCGAAATGTCGGGAACAGAGTAGAAATAGAGTTTTACTGTTGAAAATGAAGTCGATATGTTAAGAATAAAATCGTTGAGAATGCTACAACTACCATTAGCGCATATTCTAAAATTTTGACTTTATCCTCGAAATGCAAAATGAAAGAAAATCCTCCTCTCATTTTTCCCCTTCATGCATGTACAGTTTTTTGCAAAGGTTGCCAAAAACATCTATTAATACTGCTCATAAATTACAGAAATTTGTAAGAGGTAACTTTTATTCACAGCTACAGACCGTGATACAAAATCTGTGTGTTTCAAATGACTCATGCAGTGTATGTTTTAATTGTTAAACCTCTCACATAAACTTGAATCCATACCTGAATATTCTTTTGGGCCATCTCTGGAGGAACTCCCCCGACATAGACGGGACTGCTGACATGCCAGGAGACATTTCCTCCCTGAGCTCTGTCTTCCAGCACCGTGAGCCCATCAATTATTAACCGCCCCATACTCCCATCACGGATAAAAACAACCTTCAGCAGGAGAAGAGGAAATAATCGTCACTGTAGACATTGTTGACACATAACT